GCAAGCCCCTTGAGGTACATCAATCGTGAATAGCCGTTACCCCTATTTCACAGCTGAGGAAACTGAGTCTCAGAGAAGTTAACATGGTTTTCCTAGGATCACAGTTCTAAGCAGCAGTCTATATTTAGAGCTGAGTTTTCTGACTCCAGACCCACTCTCCGGTTTTTATGTCTTCTGCCTTCCACTGAATATACAGACCATGACACTGGGCACAGACTTTCAAAACAACAAGCATTTGTAGCAGCTGCATAGAACACCAAAATCTGGCAACCTCGACCAAAGACCGGACAGATGCAGGGCCAGAGCATTTCCTAACCAAAATCCCTAGTGTGTCCTCTCTGGAACTTGACATTACTAGTCGTAAAGCTTTTTGGTTGATTTGTTCAATTTATGGCATGTAATTATTTGGGGGACTATAAATCCTTGGACATCAAGTAAATACCCATCACCTAGATTCTACAATTAACATTCTGTTATACTTACTTTACCGCATATCACCCTGTCTGTCCATTCCTTTATCCAACCAGCAACCCATATTATTTTTCTGAAGTTGCAGATATCGGTAAAGTTTACCCCTAAGTACTTTGGCTTGCATATCATTAATTAGAATTCAGTATTTGCTGATGGTTCTTATTTTTTAAAGTAGAATTTGCATATAATCAAATATACAAATCTTAAGTGTACCATCCAATAAGTTTTGCCAAATGTATACACCCATGTAACTTAAACTTCCATCTAGATATGGAATATTATCCCCACCCCATAAATTTTGTTCTCCTCATGCCCCTTCCCAGATTCCCTCCTCACTACTATTTTAATCTTTATCACTGACTTCATCTCTTCTAGAACTATATATAAATGGGGTCCTACAGTATTTACTCTTTGGTGTAAGGATTTTCTCACTCAAGATCATGTGTTTGAGATTCATTCATGTTGTTTTGTGTATCAAGAGTTTACTCCTTTTAAATGTTGAGCATTACTCTACTGTAAGAATATACTAGTTTCTTTATCCACTTTCCTCTAATCAGACACCTGGGCTATTTGCAGTTTTTAGGTATTCTAAATAAAACTAAGAACAGTCTTACAGAGATCTTTCTGTGAATATGTTTTCATTGCTCTTGTTAAATACCTAGAAATGGAACTGCCAGGTCATAAGTAGGTATATGTTTATTGTCATAAGAAACTTCCCGAACCCTCTTCAAGGCAGTTGCACTGTTTTAACTCCCATCAACAATGTATCAGAGTCTCTGTTGCTCCATATCATCAGCAACATTTGGCATTTTCAGGCTTTTTAATTTTAGCCATTCTGGTGGGTGTTTAGCATATTACTTTTTGAATTACCAAACAAGAATATCCACCAAGTATATCCAGACTTGCATTACCAAGGGACATCTTGGGCAATATTGTGATTTATATTGTGATTAAGACATTAAATCTTGATTCTCCTCCTTCAGGAGTTGATTGAAAGATTCATTATTTGACAGTTAATTTAAATGATTTTGGCTTCAACCTGAGCTCCAAGTCACTGAGTGTCATTGAAGTTAATCTTTAGGATGTTTTTCATTAATACTAAGACTTTCAAATTCATCAAAATGATCAGGTGAGCTCTTGACTTATGCTCAATAGAAAAATAAGTAACTAAGCACAACCTAGTCACTAACCTGTAAAATGCCTTTGACTGAATTAAATGGGCACCACCACAGCGGTGACTCTCTTAGACCTAAACTTGTTATTAATAAGAGTGAATCCATTTAGACGAAGCTTAAGCAATACGTGGTAAAGTCATCTCCCGGTTCAGTTGCTTCCAGGTGCCGGAGGAAGTCATAGGCCTAATTCTTTCTTAATGCAAATTCTTCCTCAGGCCTTCTAATTGATCCTTAGAAAGTTTTCAGGCTTTTACACTGCTGTTTTCTTGGCTTTTGCCGCATTCTCCCTGCTCTAACTTTATTGCTTATTCGTTATGAAAATAACCTGCATGATCTTAATGCTTATCAAAAATGTATCTCAGTCCACTGCTTATAGTATTAGACATATTATAAGTCATCGGACATTCTGTCTTTTAAGGAACGTTTAGTGATCAGCAGCAGTAATGCTGCTTAGAGCTCTGAAGTGGGAGAAACAAATTGTACAAGTCTTAAAGCTAATGGAACTTGGTCAAGGCAGCTCATGAAACACTCACATGAATGGTATGTTAACTTTGCCACTGCTCTTTAACGAACTTCTTTCTTCGTACTTCAGTTTAAAGGATACTCTGCAAGGATATGTAAGAATTTGTGAACCGGCAGATTTATAATGCAAACTTAGTGTTGATTAATTTTTGTCGGGCAGATTATAGTTCTGGTGGCACCTATTCAGTTCCTTCCCGTAACATCTAGGAAGGGCAAAACGCTTCCACGGTTTCGAGAATCCCCCTGGTTACAGAGGCGTTAGGGAGATGGCACCTGAGGGAACGTTATGAATTACACATTTTAATCTCTGTCCTGACTTGCCTTTTTCGGGAGCACTAAATACACAGCTTTATCGCTCACTGCCTAGCTGTAAGATAAAAAAATATACTGGTTCTTATGATATGGTAATATGGTAATCATTTGTTGAAATTACATAAAATGTCACCTATATATGAGTTTGCATATTTTGGGAACTAACCACTAGGCAGATATTTTGTACTTCTGAAAATAAGAACATTCCACGGCTTGAAATGATATGACAGTGACTAATTGTCCCACACATCAAATGTGCAATATATACCACAGATTTATCATAGGTTTCTTTTTTTTTAATGTGTCTATGTGCCATGTTATACACAGGTGAAAACAGGCAACTATTTTGGGATGATGTAGCAGCACAGGAAAAACCTGCCTGCCTTAAAATATTTTTCCTCTAGCCTGCCATAGGGATGAGACACTTATCTTCAGATTTTCCTATCAAAAGCAACATATTAGCAGGAAATATACGAACATCACTTTTTATTATATGAACCATTAATGCCCACTATCCCTCCAGCGTCTAGCAGAACCATGAAGGGATGGAACAAAGTCAGAGACATTAGAAAGGCTGCAGATGAGGGGCGCCTGGGTGGCTCAGTGGTTAAGCGTCTGCCTTCGGCTCAGGTCATGATCCCAGGGTCCTGGGATCGAGCCCCGCATCGGGCTCCCTGCTCTGTGGGAAGCCTGCTTCTCCCTCTCCCACTCCCCCTGCTTGTGTTCCCTCTCTCACTGTCTCTCTCTCTCTGTTAAATAAATAAAATCTTAAAAAAAAAAAAAAGAAAGAAAGGCTGAAGATGAGATGAAGTAATGAGACATTGAGTCTGTGCGGTGCAGGGGGCGGGGAAGAACCCCAGGGAGCAGGAGGGCAGCTGGGGGGTGAAAGGCACCTGTGGGAGGAAGCTCTGAAAGAAAATCTGGGACTTCGGTAAAAGAGACACTTGTTTCCAACATTCGCCTAGGGCTGGACCCATGAGACACAAACGAGAAACTAACGGAGAAAGCCAGATTTTGCACTAAGCTCTTTTGAGGCACTTTGTTCTGACACAGGAAAGACAGTAATTTTGCAGGCATCGATACTACTGAGGCAAAAAATGGTGCATTTTCCTGTTACATCAGCCAGATAGTTAGATAAACTCTGGTTCATTTACTAAATAAATATGGAAAATGAAGATTGATTATCATTGTAAAGTGCTGCGTAAATGCAAATTCTTTATACTCTGAGTCCAGAGCTTAAATAAAAATCAAGTTATCATTCTTTTCTGATAATTGCCCCTCACATTTTGCCAGTGACCACTTTATAAAGGAATCAAATCCAAATGCTGCATTATTTAATCAGATTTCATTGCATTCTAAATGAACAGGGATAGAAGTGAAGATGACACATTAGGACATGTGACAGAGCTCACTTGTAGGCCACTTCCATTTCTAATGTATCTCTAAATTTTATCCCCTTTATGTAGTTTGCTTTATTCAACACATGCTATTTTAGTGGCATATAAAGAGTTTTAATGACAACTAACTATTCCCTTAATAAAAATAAAAGTGATCGCTCCATGTTTTATCATATTCCCATTTATACATTTTTTTAAAGATTTTATTTATTTATTTGAGAGAGACAGAAAGAGCACAAGCGTTGGGGGGGAGGAGGAGGAGGTAGAGGACAGGGAGAAGCAGACTCCCCACTGAGCAGGGAGCCCAACGCAAGGCTCAATCAATACCAGGACCCCCAGATCATGACCTGAGCTGAAGGTAGACGCTTAACTGACTGAGCCACCCAGGTGCCCCCCACTTACACATTTTACCATAGTCAATAGAGAAAGGCTCAAGGACTTCCGAAAAAATTTTAGAGCATAAGTTCAGTAATTAATTAGCTTTAGATTGTTAAGCATACTTATTAGAATTATATTACTTTTCTTCTTCATAAACTTTTTATGTTTTCATTAAAATCTGTTGGCCTTTTATAAATTAACCATAGCAAACAATAAAAGAATATCCTTCAGACTGAGACAAAAGACCTTGATCAAAATAACTGATATCTTGGCTCTCTAATCATATTATTCCAGGGCCTTAATATTAAAAAGCTCTCATAATTGGTAACTGAATAGCTCTTCCTTAGATTCTCTAAAAATAAGAGTTTTTAATCTCTTCTTGCATGCTAGGAGAGTCTTATGACTTACATGTATTTTGGAAATTTGTTTCAACACGTAAAAGGAAAATGTCTGATACTTTCAATTACTTAAAACATTTATGATTTTAAGCTCCCAGCAGAAATCTGCTGCTGAAGGGAGAAAAAAAATTAAGAGCTGTTAGGAAGACGCTTATGTAAGAACTGTGACATCGGTCACTGCTATGAAGGCAGGAAGTCCTATATTTTAGAGTCAAGGCTTAAAGGAATCTTTATTGAGCATTCCGCGCCCCCCGCGCGCCCCCCCCCCCTCCTTGGAGCTGAGACAAATGGCTGAGGAGTGAAATCTTGAGAAATGCTCACGGCTTTTCGCCTTCGTTCTGTTGCAGCCCGGAAGATGGTGAGATCCACCCAGAAATCTGTCGGCTTTATATCCAGCTGCAGTGCTGCTTGGAAATGTATACAACAGAGATGCTCAAATCCATATGTCTGCTGGGGTCTCTTCAGTTTCACCGAAAAGGTATCTGCCTTTAGCATACCACCAGAAACACTGATGTTAAACAAAAGCTTACCTCTTCCAAAGGCCTCTAAGCACCCTGCCTACACACAGTTGGAATGGATGTAAATGTTCAGGAAATATTTGATACAAATTAATAAAAGAAGTCTATACCAGTACTAAGTGTGAAGAACACCAATCATCTTGAACAGAAACTGTGGGAGAAACTGTTCTCAAATGTATTATTTTACCACTTGTGAACATGGCTTTGGTTAAAATCAGCACAGAGCGGAAAAAAAAAAAAAAAAAATATATATATATATATATATATATAAAACAATCTTACTGGGGGTAAATGCCATCCAAGACCGCTGCTCTTTCCCTAACTGAATTTGGCTGCAAGAAGACAAATCACATATTATGTCTCAAAGATTTAAAAATAGGGGGAACTCAACCAACAACAGGGAGGCATAGGAGCAACAGAAAAGTCTCATTCCTTGACTTAAACTATAAAGGAAAATATTGGCTCAAATGGCTGAACCGTCCAGAGATGGCAGGGACTTCAGCGTGGTTTTGTCAGTCTTTTACCTCACCCGCTGAATGATACTCTGCCTTCTCCTGGGTGTTGGCTTTCCCCCACATTAGCAAACTGATTCTCACAGTTCCAGTCATCATATCTGCATACTAAAAGATCCATAAAGAGAATCTCTCCCCACCGGAGACTAGAAAATGTCCTGAGCTTCATTCTGATTGGACCAGGTTGGATCTTGGGTCTATACTTGAACCAGTCACTCTAGCCAGAGGGATGGAATTATACCGATTGATTTAGGCAATCAAAGGCCATTCTTGGAGCTAAGGGAGGAGTCCTCCCTACCCAACCAGTGCCCATTACATGATGGGAGCAGGTGGACTAGAACAGATGCTGGGGAGGAAACCAAAAGTTTCTGTTAGTGGAGGATTCAAGCTATATTTTCTTTACTCATTTATTGCATAGTAATTTATTGGGAAGCTCCTGAATGCAAATACTTGTCGCTTGAGCTCAGAAGAATAGGATGATGTGTAGAAGGTAATCCTTGTCTGTGATTTAAATCCTGAGAGAGTAAGCCCTATAATATTCAGGGAAAATCTTTTAGAAAGGGTGGAGCTAGGTTATGAAGATAAAGTTCAAGTAGGAAAGGAAAAAGCAGGACCTTGCAAGGGAAGAAGCAGTTAAAGTAGAGATTTGAAATCATATGAGCATGGAATTTGGGGGGGAAGTAAATGGCATGACAAAGTACTTGTAAAAAATCAAATCTTGTGTATTCTGCACAAGGCAGAACTAAAAATAGGATTATGCTACACTGCTCCAGAGTGAGGAGAACATTTTCTGGAAACATGAGTATTTCTTTTTCCTTTTTCCTTCTAATGGCAGAACTTTCAACAGTTTCCTTCTTGACTTCTGTTATTACTGCAAGTGAACATTGGAGAGATGAGCTTCTACACACTCCTGATGCCTGATCAGAAAATTGAATATTCACATACACTGATGCCATTCCAACAAGTTGTCCTTGGCCCAATGTCTTCACTTACCCTGTCTGCTCTCAATCTCTGTCACACACACACACACACACACACACATTCTCACATAAACTCACAGAGTAGTATTTTCACTCTTTTTAATCATGGTTGAACAGAACAAAATAGTTTTTTTCTGAGGGCTGCACTGGCTACTCTTACAGTATTTTATTTCATGGCCGTGTTGCCACTGGAATCGCCCTCATTGATGACATGTCTGTAACACCCACTGTCTCCACCTCCACTCTCACTCTAACTCCTCGGGGTACCTCCTGCTCTCCTGCCATCCACTCCTACTCTGTCTTTCCATGATTGGCTTTTGAAAGATGGCCTCTTTTCTGCTAGCTCTCTATTTAGAAGTAAAAGGTAGGGGCACCGGGATGGCTCATTCAGTTGAGCTTCCAACTTGATTTCAGCTCAGGTCATAATCTCAGGGTCATAAGCTCAAGATGCTGGGATCAAGCCCCTCAAGGAGCCCCACTCAGCACAGAGTCTGTTTGTCCCCTCTCCGCCCCCACTCTGTTCCTCCTCTCCCCCTTCCCTCACACTCCCCCTGCCCCGGCTCATGCATGCACTCTAAAATAAATTTAAAAAAAAAAAAAAAAAGGAAAAAGGAGTCCCTCATCCAGGTTTTTTCCTTATTGTATTTGGTCTTGAGTACTCAAGTAAAAAAAGCATTACCTCTTAACTGATCAGCTCATTTGGTCTTCACAGCCTCCTGTCCTCATTGTCAGTCTCTGATCTGCTTCCTTCCCAGCCTCTTCTTTTAAAAATAATTCCCCCCTTCTCTCTACTCTAGCACCCGGCCTTCTATGTACAACTCTAAAAAGAATCTGCCTGATAACGTCTTTGATTGCTCCCACATGTATGATTAAGCTCCGCTTGGACATCTATTTTATTCTTCTAAAATCAGTATTACTTAAAGTGCAAATCCTTAGAAAATCTGCTTCAAAATTACCCAGGGTGCTGAATAAACATGCAGGCTCATGGATCCTGCCCAGGACCTACTGAATCAGAGTCTCTGGGGGCACTCCAGGTGATTCTGAAACCCACACAGTGAGGATTGAGAGCTGTTTCCTTTCCAAACGAAAGGAAATCTCCCCACCATATGAATACAAATTAAAACTTCCAATTCCTCACCTTGCCATTCTCTAGTCACCTAAGTATATGCTTTCAACTTTGTTCTCAGCTTTTTCTTCTTTATCACCCAAGGTGATGAAAAGCAAACACCAAAGTAGTAGCAAGAGCTGTGTGTGATGGCTCACGCTTTCTCCGCCAGCCCTTCACATGACCTTGAAATCTAGCTGTGGTTCCCCAAGGCCGGCCTCTGGCCTCTGCACTGGCAGCACCAGCATCCCTTGTTAGAAATGCAAATTACCGGGTGCCTGGGTGGCTCAGTTGGTTAAGCGACTGCCTTCAGCTCAGGTCATGATCCTGGAGTCCCGGGATTGAGTCCCACATCGGGCTCCCTGCTCAGCAGGGAGTCTGCTTCTCCTTCTGACCCTCCCCCCTCTTATGCTCTCTCTATCTCATTCTCTCTCTCAAATAAATAAAATAAAATCTTAAAATAAAAATAAAAAAAGAAATACAAAGTGCAGGGCGCCTGGGTGGCTCAGTCAGTTAAGCGACTGCCTTTGGCTCAGGTCATGATCCTGGAGTCCCGGGATCGAGTCCCGCATCGGGCTCCCTGCTCGGCGGGGAGTCTACTTCTCCCTCTGACTCTCCCTACTCTCATGTGATCTCTCTCATTCTCTCTCTCTCAAATAAATAAATAAAATCTTAAAAAAAAAAAAAAGAAAGAAATGCAAATTACCGGCCCCACCCTAGACCTACTGAATCGGAAACTCCCCTCAATTTACTTTTTTGCTGCTTGACAAAAATTAAAAGAATAATTCATGGAGACGTTTATTCACCTGAATACATTGATAACCTTCTCTAATCACCATCTATAATCAGCAAACCATGCTTTTCTACTCTTTTCAAGTATGTATATACCATCTACCCCTGGCAAGCCTCCTGTGTTTCCAGAAAACCCCTCCAAGAGCTGACTGTCTTATGGATTGTTACCTCTGTCTGAGAACCCGTAGAGAGAGGTAAGGCAGTGAGGAGAAGGACATTTTCTTATTAGTGCGACATCTTCAAACTAGTTGTAAAGAAAATAGTCTTATTTAAAGTTTAAAAATGGGGTACCTGGGTGGCTCAGTCGTTAAGCGTCTGCCTTTGGCTCGGGTCATGATCCCAGGGTCCTGGGATGGAGCCCCACATCGGGCTCCCTGCTCAGCGGGAAGCCTGCTTCTCACCCTCCCACTCTCCCGGCTGTGTTCCTGCTCTCGCGGTCTCTGTCTCTGTCGAATAAATAAATAAAATCTTTAAAAAAATAAAATAAAATAAAGTTTAAAAATGACATTGAAAATGGAAATAAGTCACTAAAAGTAGGCCCCAAGGAAAATGTCATTAAACCAGAGAAAATAAGGCACTAGAAAACATGTATGAAAATACACACCAGACAAATACCCTGAAAATTTCTGGAATGCCAAATAAAATACGAGCTCTTGGGAGAGGGATGGGTCCACTAAAGAAATCATTTTTAATTTTTCTGGTCCCATTTTTGTATTACACTTCTCTATTTCTTTATTATCTCCATTAATTTCCTCATTACTCCTAAGAGATTAATGCTATAATTATTGATTTCGACTCCTGGCTTTGTTCTCTAGTTTATATTCCCCCCGTTAGGACAGCACAGAAAATGTCAGCTGATGTCACTAGTTTTTGTTTTTTCTTTCTTCGGTATCATGGGAAACTGGAGAGTAACCTGTGTCCAGAAAGCTCCAGCTAATACACAATAAGTATATTACATCTGCTGCTAGCAATCTGGAAGGCCCTGACTAAAAAGAATAGAAACACTTGACTCCAATGACCATGGACTGCCAGAAATGACTGGAAGAAATATGTCCAGGGGAGCCTGACTGGCTCGGTCGGTAGAGCATGTGAGTCTAGATCCAGGGTTGTAAGTCCAAGCCCCACTTTGGATGTAGAGATTACTTAAAAATAAAATCTTTAAAAAAAAAAAAAAGGAGAAAATATATCCATAGACCACAGCACAAGAGAGTGTTTAAGAGTTGGGCAAATTAAGAGATATAACATGCATCTTGTCCTAGAAACATAAAGTCCCTATGCAGACTAGTAGACACAGGGGAATCAGCAAGCCTAAGCAGTCTTACTGCATGAGAACAAGAAATGGGGAAGGGGTGGGAAGAAGGCTCTGCCAGTGGAACTTACTAAGAAATGGAGTCAGGATGTGTAATTAAGGAAAAATATATAAAGCCTTTATTTTTTTCTTTTATTTAAGATTTTATTTAGAGAGAGAGAGCACGAGTGGGGAAGAGGGACAAAGAGAGAGGGAGAAGCAGACTCCCCACTGAACAAGGAGCCCAATGTAGGGCTCGATCCCAGGACCCCAAGATCATGAC